ATAAATCATCGAATTAAATGAACAATTTAAAGAATAAAATTGGTTATTACAGCAGTTTTTCAACATTTTTTTTTATGTATTTTGGTTTTGTGTTTTAGTATGCTTAAGTAAATTCAAAATATTAATCGGTTTTTTATCGACTGATAGAATTAAACGAATCTTTCTATGGAATGTTCTTATACTTTTATGCCGCAGAAAAATATCATTGAGAAATAAATAGGTAAAGTACTAAAGTGTCAACTCAATATCTTATTCTTCATATTTCTCATGGTTTAAAATTTAGTTTACCGCTTACGCGTTCCCACTAAAGTAAAGACAAAATTATAATTACATTTATTTAAGGGCTATATTAAATTTGAGAAAACTTAAATCTATATTAACTAGTTTATAATAATTTAATTATAATTAAATTACATTTTATACATTTTTACTTATCTTTATATTAAAACTATAACTAAAAAAAAAACCATATCAAGCGAAAGGTAAACCACCTTTTTAATAGTATTTCCAAACACCTTTTTTCTTATTATAAAATAAAAAAAACATCGTTCACAAGCATGACCAAAAAAATTATATTATAAATAAAATAAATAAATATTATTGATTGTATGTAGGTACCCTTAATATATTTTACTACAATGATAAATAATATTGAGACATTTTTTTTACAATCTATATACCAAAACTCGAAACTATACCTAAACATACAATAAAAACTAATGAGTAGGTAGCTAAAAATATGTACACAATATTTGTATGATTATAGTTATTTATCTCTATGATACTGTAAAAAACTATTTTTCACGAAGATTATTTTGCCCTAAAAGATTTTTACTCTTTTATATATTTTCTGGTGCTAAATATTGTATCCAATTGGATATTTTGTAGCAGTAAAGTAGAAAATGCACAGTACTTTTCAAAATTATCAGAAAAAAAATTATAATACGGACAAATGGGGAATATTTACGTGACAACAGTTTTTGAACGGTATTCACTTAAATTAATAACAATATCTCATATAAATTAGTTCAACCTGTATTACTTATACAAATTACTATTACAAATTAACAATAGTAATAAACCAATTATAAAGCATATTTATAATATATAGTGGTAGGATACACCATTTCCACTCAGAGTCGTTTTTAATATTGCAATGAATTATCATAAAATTAAAAATCATCACATTCATTACAGTGACTAATTGAAGGGGAATACTTAAGACCTTCTATAAAGCAGAATGACTTCACGAGTTTTTTGTATATATTTTTGAAATTCTGTAATAAATAGGTAATAACTGACGAAATTTGTTATTTTGACATATCGATCACTTCAAAATATAATTAGAAATGTATACATTATTAAAGTATTATTAAAAAATTAAAACCTATATAAAATAGGTACACCATAACATTAAAATTAAGTTGATTTGTAAACATAAATATATTGAATATATGTGCAACTTACCCATTTTTTTTTTATGTGCACTTATCAATAGATAAAATTAATTTTAAATATACAAAATAAAACTTTAATTTTTCCAAGATTTATTCATTTTTAAACTATTCTTACTATTTTCTAAGTTTTTTTTTAATGGTTTGATTTATAACTGTTATAAAGTATATAATATAGTTAAGACAAAAAACAATATAAGTAATCTTTACGTTTTAAATAATTAGGTCAACCACACAATACTATAAAGTCATTTATACCTACTTGCTAAATAAGTGGAAAAAATTAAATGAAATAAAAAACTTTCCTAAGTATGAAAAAATACAGAAAAACTTTCATGAAAAGCAATTCAATTATATTCCATTATAAAAAATAATAGTTTTATGAACTGTAGTACATTTTTAAAAACGATTTGAAGCATTTATTATATTTTAACAATAATTAAAAATCTTATTAACATCTTATAATATCAAATAGTAAACCAATTATTATACGTTAGGCTAATGATTTTCAGTTCTTTTTTTGAAATATCATAATATTCTAGTTATAATAGAAAATGGGATTTTTAAATATTGAATATGATGGATGAATAAATTCACTTTTGATATTTAAACACGTTTTTTTTTTCAAAATATTATTTTCCATAATTGACAATTATTATTAGTTTTATAAGTCGGGGATTTTAATATATAAGTAATATACTAATATGCATACATAATGAAACTGCGTAAAAGTTATAGACCTACATTATGTTTATAGAAACTTCCATAGGTACCTACTCATGAATATGTAAGTGGAACTATGGGTGACTTTGAGTAGACTTGAACGTCAATTTACAAATCAAATAACATGATTTTATCTAAACATAATACAACAAATATTTGAAATTCAGTAATGGAATTACCTTGATGGCTGGATCGTAAATTTGTGCCACAAATCCAAGATTACCTAATTGTCCATTTTAAATATTGTTGAACATGGTTAAAAGTTAGGTCTTCAATATAGGAGTGTATTTTTAATTATTATACATAATATACCATTAAAAATACATTTTTAATATTTTTTGTACGTGGATCACATTATTGATTTTATATTTTATAATACAAAATCCAATCATTATCATGAAAATAAAAATTATATAATAGTTTCTACTAAAATATAATATTAAGTATTAATTACCATACGTTTATATATTATATTAGCGTTAGTGCCGTATTGATTGGCTCGAAGATTTATTCGATAAACTTCCTTTTCCGAGGTTAATAGCAATTTCACATCTCAACACTAATAATAGTTATAGGTAAAATATATTTTTTTTCTATTAAACGAGATCCCGAACTTATAGTAGCTCAATGTACGGACCATGTAAGCTATAAACTCGTGTAGATTTTTTTTTTCATTCTTCGTGACTCATCGGCTGGGTATGATGTGACATTATATTACCTATTATTATAATTGTTGTCGGGCGAATTTTGTACAACCGTCCAGTATGGTGGACAGCGATAGCCAATTTTCCGGGGTACACATGGTAGTAATATAATATTATAATTTATAATATACTGACTAACAGAAAACAACGAGACAAGCGGACAAGCGAGTGGAGGTGGGATATGACTGATGAGATTGCAGCTGTCTGGTTGTACGCATGATTCTCGTGAACTGGAGCTCCTGCATTATTGTAATAATATTAATAATAATAATAATAATAATAATAATAATTACGGTATAATATTATTATATTCTACGCACGTGTATCGGACGCACATTATCGGAACCTCGGCTGTTGGGTATTTGTGAAACTATTATTATTATTAATGAATAATGTATTAGGTATAAAATGTAATACATTTTGTTATCATTATTTTTTTTTATAAAATAATAAGTTGTTTATTTGAACGTTGCATCAATTTTTTATTTTTATAAGGAAATTTGAGCGTGTTTTCTAGGTTATTAATTAAAAAAATATATACAAGAACACTTTAAATAGGCTTAAAATTTTTTTTCAAAGATTAATCGATAGTTTATTATTACAAAGAAATACCTGTATTATACATTCAAATATATTTTACTTATTATTATCACTTGAGTTTAATATTTGCTACGAACATAATATGTGATTATTTGTATATTTTTATTTAGTTCAATAATTTTATTGTATTACAACGATAAGAAGTCCCGTGAAGCAAATTAGTACGGTCATTACATTTTAGTGGTCACAATTACTTCACACACTTATCCATCGACTCGCAAAAGTAGGTAAGTACTCCACTATTTTAATTTAATATAAACTCATAGTAATAATTGTGAGATTAAATCAAGTATTTTTATATGTAAGTTCCCGCTAAACACAATATGTCTACATAAACCCATTGTTTTAGTTATTATAGTATTATGTCTAAAGCATGTATAATTGATCAGTATGGTTAAAATGATAAAATAGGAACATTTTTGACTACAGGACACAACACCTTATGGCTCCTAAAATGATTAATTGTTCATTTTTGTTTATAATATTTTTTTAATAATTTACTTTGTAGTACGAATGAATACCTATATAATAGTTATTAAAATTCCGCGTGTTCATATCCATGGTAATTTAAAATGGTTTCATATTTGAGTTAGAGACTTTCTGTGATTCTAATACTTAATTATTGATTTAAGACTAAACTAACAATTTCCATCTGATATCAACAATATGCATTTCTAGATGTACATCATGCACTATGCACATAAATATATTGTGTTTGTTATAACAAAATAATGTATACGGTTAAAAAATAAATAAGCTGGTATTTCAAACCTTCAAAGTGCCCATATTAAATCTGAGTTCTTGTTTTAGTTATCCTTAACTACTTCCTATAGCATAATATAATAGTTCAAAATCAAATTTAACATCCATTACAATGGTTTTCTTAATGATAATAGGTACACTCGACCTTGCCTACAGTAAAGCGAGATAACCAATATATGTTAATACATAATATATTAGTATGTTAATGTAATATTACATTATTTTCATTGATATTAAAATAATTTATTAATTTAATAAATATATTTTGTATACATTTTAGGACGTTTTTTGTTTTTATTATTTTAGACTTTTTTAAATTCAATTTAAAGTATCTTCAACAATCGAAATAAACGACAGGAATCAGTCTGTTTTTCAATTCAAACTGTATATTTTGAATTTATTAAAAACATTGTTTTTTTTATAATACAAGACCTTTAATAAAATGTATATTGTAAGAAAAGATTCATCGACCAGCCGTTGACGTAGCAATTCAAATATCAGTGGATCGGAAACGTCCTCACCAATGTATTTTTTGTCAAGTAAATCGTCAATCTTATTATTTCCATCGTTTCAATTTCAATATTTGTCTAGATTTCAGGAAGAAAAACGCTCATTTACAGCATCTGGACCAATATAATATTGTGCAACCTACCAGCTATTACAGATGATACTACAACATACTACAGTAAATATAACACATTAATACAATCGATTGGCAACAAAATACCTAATAACTTATCGTCGAACATCCGACTGCTTACCTGCGGAAATCTCTGCTCCAGCAGGCGTAGATCACGGGGTTCATGCCACTGTTGATCCACCCGAGCCAGGCGACCACAGATGATAGAAGTTGGTCCTTGAACACACAGCTCTCGTCGCAGAACCCGGACAGCAGGTTGACGACGAAGAACGGTAGCCAGCAGACGATGAACACGCCCATGACGATGCCCAGCGTCTTGGCTGCCTTCTTCTCGCGGGACAGCTTGCTCAGCTTCCGACTTAGGGAAAAGTTTTTCTGCAGCTGATGAGCTCGCGTGTAGCCTCCACTACCACCGTGTGCTGCCGACGCCGACGTGGTAGTCCCTCCGCCCCGGTGTATTCGGAGCGTGAGTTCCATCCGACCGCCGCCGGATCCACCACCACCACCTCCGCCACCTCCACCGCCACCACCTCCACCACATCCGGAACCGCCACCGGACGACGGGGTGGATGACAGCACTTTGGTGCCTAGCCGCTGGCACCGGGTCTGCGTGACGGCTGCCGTGTAGATCTTGTAATACGTGAACACCATGACCAGTAGTGGCACGTAAAACGATATGGTGGACGAGAATATCAGGTAACCGGTGCTGTTTGTGAACGGGCATGTGTTGCTGGGAACGGGTTCGGTGCGAACTAGCCGCCACCATATAATGGCCGGGAAGCTGATGACGCCACTGCACACCCACACGGCAGCGATCAGCCGGTACGCCCGCTTCCGGCTCATTTTCGTCGGGTACGTGAACGGATCGGTGATGGCCCAGTACCGGTCCAGCGATATCACGCATAGGTTCAGTATGGACGCTGTGCTGAACAACACGTCCAGCGACCGCCAGATGTCGCACGCGTTTATGCCGAACGTCCAGTAGTGGTCAAGCACCTCCTGCACGGCGCTGACCGGCATCACCACCAGCCCAACCAGGAAGTCAGCGAAAGCCAGAGACGTGATGAAGTAGTTGGTCGCCGTGTGCAGATACCGCTCCCGGACCACAGCTATTATGACCAGACAGTTGCCGAACACGGTCACCATGCAGAACACCATCAGCACCGCTGACAGCGGGAACCGGTCGCCGAAAGTTGACCGGCAGGGGACCTCCTCCTCCGTGCCCATCGGGTCCTCGTAGTCGGCCGTACCGTTTACCAACGCAACCATTGTCGTCCAGTTCATCTTTCTCTTTCTCTCTCTCCCTCTCTCTCTCTATATATTTATATATGGCACGTAAGAAGTTGTTACCCGGTCTATAGAGTCGCTATTCCGGAAAATCGTCACTGGAACACATAATATAAAATTCAGAGTGTTAAAATTGTTCACGAATAATGTTCGTTTAAAAAAGAATAGATTAGTTCACTGCTCTAGTCATAAATTACTTAATTAGTAGGTACTTATAAATTACGACACGTCTCATGTTCTGTATAATGGAGATGTTATATTTTTCCAACTTAGAACAAATAAATAAAAAATGATTACATAGTATATTACAATTAATGCACTTGTCTATTATATTCAATTATTTTAACTTTTACAATTCCAAATTAATTTCACCAAATTTCAGATTTATTAAAAGACGAATTTTGATTAAAATTAAATAATGTTTATATTTTTATACAAATTACACATTTTCCAATACCTTATTGCACCATAATTTTGCAAATACCTAGTAACTGAAAGTATAGATATAATTTTTTTGATCCATATATTAAAAACATAGATGGTAAACGGTAATACGAATTTTTCCCTATCAATGATAAGCATTTGTCGAGGAATGCTTCTGTTCATAGAATTTTTAATATATTCGGCGTCATCTGTTTTTTAAACAGACATTTTCAATCAATTGATCTGCTTTTGTTCAAACACATTTTTTACCAGCGCATCACGTTGCAATCGTTCGAAAATTATTTACAACGAATCCCTGCTATATTGATGTAATGTAGGTAGGTACTTGACTTTTATTTATTTTATACTTATGGCTACTCGAGTATTATCAAATCCAAACTTCCAAAACGATTACCTATTTCATCTCTAGTCATAAGCCAACTTGTCTAGTTTTAATATAACATTAATTTTATAGTAAATATCATTCATCTGTTCATTGCATCGTTGGTGGTTGTTGTTTGAGTTTGAATAATGCATTGTTTGCTACGTACCTATACCGTTGCAATGAGTCATCATAAGAAAACAAACTAGGTTAAGTAAGGTCTGCATTTTGGCTTAGTTCAAGCCATTGTTATATTATTATTATTATTATGATTATTTTGGATTTATAGATTCATGTTTTTGTTTAATATAGGTCATTTATTATAGATCGGTGCATTTGTCATTATAGACACAGTTAAATATACCGTACTATCGTCACTCTATATTTTTATTTTTCATTGACATATTTTACCCCTCACCTGCGTGTTTTATTTTTTTTAAGAGCATCATCTTATGAAATGAAATTATATATTATGATATTCTTTAATCATGATAATCGTTTCAAATATTATTTTAGGAAATTACAACGGATATCTATTAGTTTATTTTAAACCACTAAGATATTACTGGTGAAATTTTAAACCAAATTTAATTAGAACCATCAAATTATAGGTATACGTGCATACGTATGTAATCTGTATAGCTAAATATATTATAAAGGTTATTGCAGTGATGCATAATATTAAGTTTAATTTGGCATTTTATTACTACTAGAACTATTAATGCACAAAAATACATTTATTTAGTTGAATTAATGAAATCTGTAGAATTATTAAATTTAAAGAAATATTAAAATAATATAAATATTTGTATTATCTACATCAGAGGTTTCCGACTCATGGCCCTCATCATTGAACCCACTAATGGGTTAAAGGAGGTTTTCAGCCCCCTTGGTTATTTTCACTACTTAAAAACATTCTTTTTTAAAAAGTATATAATATAACGTATATTTTTTTAAATATCCCCGAGTTCCGTGATGAGGAACACAATTTTAGGGTGCCTATATTAAAACATTTAAAACTGTAATTAGACCTTAATTATAATATAATGATGCGCAAACATAATACCTTATACCTAGTGATATGTATAGCCCGATAACCCGCATTGCTCTAATATTATGTTGTTGTATATACTTCACCCAGGAGGTTTAATGTAAATTATAAGTTTTACTGACTCAAATAAAATAAAGTATAAAATGAAAAATTTAAGCATACTTTGAAAGTGTTTTATATAGTTCCGTTAACACTTTGAAAAAAAAAATTAAAACGAAACAACAACACATATACAGAGATATACAGTTACTGCTATATAGCGGTATCATGTTCCTTTAACTGTCATGTCATGTATTTTAATGACACGGTAATCTGAATCCTAAATCAGACGGAGCGAGGGTTGTAACAAAATGTACCGTTTAGTCTGTTGAATAACATCTCGCAAGGAACTATAAATCATGTTTATTCAAATATCTTCAAAAAATACGCGAGCGCCTTGACAATATGAGCACGTATAGTGAGCGCTATGGTAGTCGGGGTGGGTAGGGTTGAAAACTCGCGTACTGAAATGTTATTCCGGTGAGTAAACTGCCAACGGGTAGGTTATTATACGGAAAGAACAATGAAGGTTGGGCATGACGTATCGGGTGATTACGGGGTCATTTATGAAGGAAACGTTTCCGGCCCGGAACTGACACGGAAGGACAAGAACAAGGAAAAAAGACACTAGATCCGGTGTATGTGGACTATGCTATACTATTGTCAAAACGTGCATCAGTTTCTGAAAATGATTTAGATAAAAATATGTGGATAGGAAATTCGCAGCTATATACCTATAACAATCAGCGAAGAACGACAAGCTATGAGCTTTTCGTATTTCAACATTCCTTTGCTATATAAATTAACGCAAAAGAGAATGTTTGAATTGATGAGTAATGACGATCCCCTGATAGCTGGTATTTGAAAAAAAAATACTTATTATTAAACAATAATTATTTCTATTAAATTAGGAAGAAAATGTTTTAAACTTAAATAATTCACAATTTTCTCTTTAAACAATTGGTAAAATTCTCTTAGTAGTATATAAATCAATAATTATATTAGACTACATAAAAGTTGAAAAATACATTCGAGTTAATTTATTTACCTATTTGTTTTAATTGGAGAGTGAGTATTGGTTTGTTAATATAAAATAACTAATAATAAACTAAATATAAAATCAATACGTATTTATGTTTTATATTTAAAATGTTTGTGATTGTATGAATATGAATAAATAATAAATTGAGTAAAGTATTCCAAGAAAACAATAACAATTAAACGTTTGAGAAAATGTTTTTACATTGTGATATCAAAATTCTAAGTATAAATATTATAACTATTTTAAACGTTTAAAACTTTAAAATGTAATGCTATAAGAAATTTTGAAAACTCTTAAATCTGAAAATTCTGTCGGAATATTTTTATTTTTGTTCTAATTTATAATTAAGTCTTCTCGGAAACGATCTGAGATGACACAAATTTAGCATTTCAGAATTATTATTTTTAGTTATGGGATGGGGGTCTGAAACACCCACGACAGCTACACCTGATATTGACACCAAACGTATATATGTATCTACTAAATTAATCCTCTAAACCTAAAGGCGTCCCTGAGTTTACCTACCTTAAAAATATGTGTATTATAGTAATAGTACTATATTTCATTTTTTGACTTTTCATTATCCATTATCAAGTTATTTTTACAAGGTATATTTATTTCATTTTATTTTATCAGATAAATAGAATCTTTATAGAAGCATCTGTACTGTTAATTTAATAATTAACTTTATTCAATTCAAATAAACATAGTACACAATGAATTCGCTAAATTCTCAGTTTTTATATAATTATACAATTATTATGAAAATTAATAAAAATTAATATCCCTCAGTAAAAAATAAATATAAATTAGGAATAAAATATAACCAATAAATCTTATTTGAATCACATAATTATCGTGCAAGATAAATTTATTACATTTCTTGTTTCCTCAAACTAGAATAGTGGAAAATCAGCTTTAAAAAAATTTAACATGATCGTTCGCTGTATAAAGGAGAATAGCTTGAATATTTAAAAAAAAAATTGCCTATTTGCTTTATAATATTATATTATATGTAAAATATATAAACCAATATTAATTGAGTTAGGTTGATTTATAGATTTGGTAGTTTAGTACCTAGTTATATAATTTATATTTTGTAACGAATCATAAAAGATCTCAAAAAGCCACACTAACTATATCAAACCCGAACAGTCTCCTTAACATTTATTATAGGTATTTAAGCAGTTATCATATGAAAACGATAACGATTGACATATAACTGTAATTTGTTATTTGTGTGGGTCTAAAATGTTATATAATATAATACTGCGGGGCCTATGACATCAGCATGCCAAACTTATGATGAATATATTAGTTAAGGCTCTATTATATAACAATTAACAAATTATCAGCCCCAACCAAACCAATCAATATCCTGGATACGCAACTGATAGAAAATATAAATTAGGTATTTTGGTAGATATATTTAATAAAGTATCATTCTTAGTTAACTGAAAGAACTTTACACACACCTTTTACTTAAACTCGTATGTAGGCGACGAGGATAGGTAAGATTGGCTTTTGCAAACTATAATATTTATAGATCCTTGATGTTTGAAACAAGTATTCTCTTTTGAATGGTCGTGTACGTGTGTGCGTATGTGTTGTGTAGAGTCTACACTATCTTTAATATATTTCACACATTTTTAGACCACGATCAGAATTGTGATGATTTTTCGTTTTTTTCCCTGTACAACTATAAGCTAAAAGGATGTAAAACATATAAAAAAACCTCTGACAAAACAAAGATAATGTTATCTTATAGAGAAAAATAAAAAGGTTTAGACTGTTTATTATAGCATTGTGTATGGGTCACCTTTATTTAGATTTTGTACTATATATAGTTTGGTTGACCGGTCTCGAAAATACAATTGGTATATCGTCTAGTGGCACACAGTTTGTGTAGGTAACATTAACGATGACTCGTCAGTTTTTTACTCCCTCACACCTCCATTACTATATTATATACTCATATAATGTTGTGTAATAATAATAACTAATAATTATAGCACGTTCTAATGTTCACTTATTTAACTGGAATAAAAATAAAAAATAAT